GCAATCGCAGGGATAGCCTATCAACCTGGGACAGCCAAAGGACCTCCATTAAAAGTTTTACACAAAGTGATTTAGGTGATCTAGCGAGTACATGCTGTTGCTGGACAGTCTCATTCTTAACAGTCTCTGACAGCTCACTGCAAGATTCAGAACTGTATAGGCTCCAATGTGGTCGCAGGATGCATACATGAGAGTACAGCACTGACATGGGCTCCTGGAGGGTGAAGTGACATGAGCTGAAGATTGTACACGACGGTGGCACCCGTAGAGGACAGCATTAAGTAGCATTATTTAAGTAACTCATTGCTGTTGCACCCTTGGGTCACCGTACTCTAAGTGGTGATGTCCACATTTGAAGGTGAACGTGCCGCTTTAACTATAAGGATCCCATACAAACACTATGTGACATGAATGTATGGGAATGAAACAAATAAATAACAAGCCAAATATATGGAGCAGAGTTGGTAAAACTAAACTTTAGTATAATGGACAAGACATAAAGTTGAGAAAATATGCAATTTGCTCAGGATATACAAAGTATAGCTAGCCGAGGATGAAGTTAAAAGTAATTGAAAAAAATGTAAAAAAATTATAGGGTGACTAAAAGTAATGTAATTATGCTATGCAGGCTAAAGTTTAAATAAATTATTTAAAATTCTGGAAAAAAAATACTTTGTAACATTTAGCTATTTTGTGATATTTTAAAGTTTTAATATTTTGAAAAAAAAAAATAATTTTAAAAGTTTATCTAAAAACATAAATCATTTTGAAAAGCATATTCAGAAATTTTAAGTTGAGGCCAAAATGTGTTTGAAATTTTGAATGATTCTTTAGTGACACTCTAATTACCAGAACCACTACAGCTTAATGTAGTAGTTATATGGCAAAGAGACTGTCCCTCCTGTCTTAGCAATGTAAAAAAGGGAGTAAGAAAAGACAGTGCTTAGGTTGGTGCCTTACGACACCTTTAGTGGCGTTCACTCTGAGACATCCCCCCCCAAAAAAGCATTGAGTCAATGCATCTATATGAGAAGATGTTGATTGAAGCAGTGTAGGATTTGTCGACTTTTCTTATGGGTTTGTATTCATTACAATAACATCTTAAGGACGGCGTGCTTGCTATGCCGTCCTTGGGGACCCGGCTCTAAACACCGGTGGGCGGCCTAGTACGACCTGCTCACTGGCAATCCCCCACCGACGATCACGATGGGGGGACTTGTCTGGCATCCCAGACAGTCCCCCTGCGTCTGATCCGGCCCTCCTGGGCCATGTGATCATGAGGTCCTTGCGAGGACCTCATGATCACATGAACAGAATAGCCGTCCATAGCAGTGCCAGCAGGGGGAGTGCCTGGAATGATAGGTAGTCCCCCTGCTGCCTGTAATATAGTAAATTAAAGGTTAAAAACTGTGTAAAATAAAATAATATATACTTAGATCATATATATATATATATATTTTTTTTTTTTTTTATTCTACGTATATATTTATGTAATATTTTTACATAATTAAGTCATTTTATTAATTACAAATATAGATTGGTTACGTTGCCTTTGAGACTGTATGGTAGCCCAGGAATGAGAACTACCCCCATGATCGCATACCATTTGCAAAAGTAGACAAACCAAGGTGTTGCAAGTGGGTTATGTCCAGTCTTTTTAGTAGCCACCTAGTCACAAACACTGGCCAAAATTGCAGTTGAAATTAGTTTTTTGCATTTTTCACACACAAACAAATATAAACGCTAACTTTGGCCAGTGTTTGTGACTAAGTGGCTACTAAAAAAAACCTATAGGAGAAAACGAAGGTTTGTCTGCACTCATGTAAACATATTTAAATGGGGTGCTGCTGGGGGCCAATAAGTACAGTAAAAATGAAAATCCAGCGCACTCACTTATCTACTAAGCAGTTATTTTAGTGCTGAACAATTTTGTTAGTTTTATTAAAAACACCTAATCTAGGCAAAAATAATGGGGGTTTAGATACAGTATATGATCATACATTGCATAAGCCAAACCCTTGTTTTCTCCTATATGTATTTCTTTAGGAGTCTAGCCAGCTCCTTGGTTTTGCACCCCTCCCTGTTACAGGTGCCTCATCTCAGGACCCTATTTAAGCCTTGTACTGCAGAGAACTCGAGATGGAACGATTTCCCCAAGTGAGTAGCTCATTTAGCAGACAGAGTAGGACCTGCCAAAGATGGGGTACATTGGCATTGTGGCAGGCTTATGCAATGTATGATCATATACTGTAACTAAACCCCCATTATTTTTTGCCTAGATTAGGTGTTTTTAATAAAACTAACAAAATTGTTCAGCACTAAAATAACTGTTTAGTAGAGTGAGTGTGCTGGATTTTCATTTTTACTGTACTAAAAAAAACCTGACATACCCCATTTTCAGTACCTTGGGTTGTCTACTATTGCAAGTGGTATGCCATCATGGGCGTAATTCTCATTCCTGGGCTACCATATGGTCTTAAAGGCAACGTAACCAATCTGGCGAATTTTAATGTGAAAGAACTGAAAAATGTAACATGCTATATTTGACCCTGTAACTTCCCAAAACACCATAAAACCTGTACATAGGGGTACTGTTTTACACGTGAGACATCTCTGAATACAAATATGTGTATTTTTTTGCAGTAAAAGCTAACAGTATTATGACGATCACAGTTAAAGGACCACTATAGTGCCAGGAAAACATACTTGTGACCCACTAGCCTGATCCAGACTGATAATTATCCCACCCGCGTGTAAAGCATTGCATACAAACCTTTTGACATCCAAAGACTCAAGTTGCTTTGAATTGGTACACTCATCTATCCTTTACGTACTCTCTTTTAAAAAACCCTTAACGACACATGACAGAAATTTGCCGTCATGATTCCGTTTTATTTCTGAAACTGTGTCCTTAAGGGGTTTAATGAGGATTCTTGTTATGTAAGAAAATATTCTATCCAATGTCCATTTTTACCTTTAACAATGATGACTTCCCAGCCAAATGTCTAGAAGGTTTTGCGTTCTACTGGTTTGCATGGCACCAATTGGAAGTAGCATTATCGATGACCATCTCTAATGGCTGCCCTTAGGAAACAATACAAGCACTGCCTTTTCACAGAAAAGATGGTGCTTACAGTGCATAACCTACAGGGACAGTTTATTTGTACCAAAACCACTACATTAAGCTGTAATTGTTCTAGTGCTAAGAATGTTCCTTTCTAATTAGTCATACATACAACTGTTGTTAAGGTGAGAAAGTTACGCATTCTTTTCTTCAATTTAAATTTTTTCTGATGTCCCTGTAAAAATGGGATAGTGGTGGTTTTAAAACTAGATTGAACTAATGGAAAATGCACAATATACATGGTAGAAGGTAAATGCATCTGAAATCTCACTGTGTTCAACAGCAAATATGTTACTGTCATTTTTATAATAATAACTGTTCAATTTGTGTTAGCATTTGCGCTAATTTCTAGCTTTCCATGGTGGAATGCACTTTTCACTTATAACCCTATTACTTACATATTTACTGAAAATTTACTGAAAAGCCAAAATATTAATTTCCAAAGGGACCAACACTTATTAAGAACATAAAATGTGCAACACACCCCAAGACAACAAAATTAAGAAATGCCGACATTTTAGCGGGTGGATCACTCATAAGACTATCACCTTAAGCTCTTTAAATTAAAAGCACACTATATATTTCCATTTGCCAAATCGAACTGCAACATTGTTACCTTAATGAGATCCTCTCTGGAGGCAAAATGTGAAACTAAGAGATTTTCTCTGCTCTTGGTGTTCGTGATGGATATGTAGAGCTGGTTTTCAGCTATCTCGTGAGCATTACAAGGAAGAATAGATTCTATGCCTCCCCTATGGCAAAGAAATGATACACATTATTCAAATTTAATTATTCAACACACAATAAATATTTTAAGAAGTGATGTGAATCCTACTACTTTTTAAGGCAGACAATCTTATGGTATGTTTAAGTCTATAAGGATTTTATTTTTATTTCATTTTTGTACACGTAAGGATCGTCTCCAAAGTTTACATATAATTGTGGATTCCCACTTGAATATGTATCTTTGTCTTGCTTGCAATGGTTTAAACTGCATTGAAACGTGTACCTTAAGTGCTCCATAAAATCATATCTTGGTGTAACCGCTCCGAGGGTTTGCTTTCTAACATCTTCTGAAAATTCGTAGACAAAATCCTTGCTTTCCTAAAATAGCAAAAAAACATTAACGATCTACACAGATAAAATGTAGTATGTGTTAATGTCACTTAGTTCATGCAAAAAGAATGACAATAATACTAGTAATAATAATGTCGTACATTCGGGCATATTTGGTAGGCCTCTTAAAATATGTTGGTCTACAAAATTTTAGTTCATGCAAAAAGAATGACAATAATGATAATAAGAATGACAAATATTTTGGTCTCCACATTTTTAGTTCATGCAAAAAGAATGACACTAATATTAGTAATAACAATGTTGTGCATTCGGGCATATTTGGTATGCCTCTTAAAATATATTGGTCTACAAATTTTCCATGCACCTGTAGAAAATCTACACAAAGCTAAAATTTAAAATTCCGGTAGAGAAATGGGTGAACAATAGAAAAAGATTTTTCACTTATTGTGAACATATTACAAAAAAAGTGATCTCATTTAATATCTTAAATCCAACAGTCAAGTTGACAGAAATGTTCTCACCATAATTCAGCTGCAAAAAAAAAACTGAATTACAGATATTATATGAAGTTCCTGGTATAAACCTCATCATACATAGACTGAGTCTAAATTTAAAGAAGGGACAATAATGATTTTGTCCTTTCATGATACATTAACTTGTCATTATAAGAAACTCATCACATATTTGAATATTATACAAAAATCCACTACTTGTAAATAAGTTACCCATTCAAACTACGCTAGATCAAGTTTTTTTTGTCATCAAAAATGTAGGAATATACTGTATATACTATATGTCAGTGGTACTTTTTAGACCAAGACACACTAAATGAGAGAACATTTTACAATTAAGAAACCCGATTTATTTCTCTATATTTCAAATCATTATGTCACATTTTGCAGCTTTGTAGCTAAAATTATTTATTAGATCTAATTGTTTGTCCCATGGCTCTATCTAATGACAGATGATTTTGTTATGCCAAACAAGTGGCACTTATGGAACGAGGATTTATCCAAATCGGCTGGCAGCTCTGCCCAAAGTGACACAACAGGCACCCAGGCCACTTTAGCTCATTGAAGTGGTCTGGTTGCAGTGTCCCTGTCCCTCTTAGTCCTGCAATGTAACTCATTGCAGTTTTAGAGACTGCCTCTAGTGGCTGTCAATCAGAAATTCATTAGAGGCACTTAGTGGTGACTAACCAGCTTTTAGTAGCCTAACTGACACTGGACATCCTTATGCTCTGCATGAGCACATACAGCTTCAGTAAAATCCCAATAGGAAAGCATTGAAGCAAAGATTTACTATAGGGAGGGCCTAATGACATCGGAGGAGGCAGAGCAACGACCTGAAAATATGTGCAAATTTTCCATTTGTTTTTCTCATATGTGTGTGAACATAATAATTTATAGCCAGATGTTTAATGGTTTTTCCACTGTTTAGCAGATATACTTGGTTCCTAGCAGTCTGCCACCTGGTCTCCAATGACTGCTAGGCCATTCAGTTGGTGATACTGCTATCAGAAATAGTATAAAGGGATTCATGCTTGTGAATGGTACTTCACAGTTTAATGCTATTGCTAATGCTAAGTTGGAGAATAGGTTTAAATCAATGGTTTTCATTGTTTAATATTGGTCTTACTATTATGATGGCCATAATGTCAGACATTATTTCTGGCAACAGCATAAAGATTTCTTGGCATGTAGTTGATTTTACAGTCTCCTTCAAACTGAGCACTTGTGCAGAATGCATATATATGTGGCCATATGTGTGCACACTGTCCCTTAAACATAAATGATCATGACATTCCACAAGGCATTACAACAGCATCATTTGGATGGTTAATGTGACATTTATAACCTGATGTTAAGAAAAAAGAAAAACAAGAATGCTTAAAGGGACACTATAGTCACCATAATAACTACAGCTTATTGCATTTGTTCTGGTGAGTAGAATCATTACCTTCAGGCTTTTTGCTGTAAACACTGTCTTTTCAGAGAAAATGCAGTGTTTACATTACAGCCTAGGGATAACTTCACTGGCCACTCAGATGGCTGTTAGAGATCCCTCTTGGGTCATGGCTGCCTAAAATGCATCCAAACATTCAGTGTCTTCTCCCTCTGCATGCAGACACTGAACTTTCCTCATAGAGATTCATTGATTCAATTCAGCTCTATGAGGAGATGCTGATTGGCCAGGGCTGTGTTTGAATTGTGCTGGCTCTGCCCCTGATCTGTCTCCTTGTCACTCTCAGCCAAACCTATGGAGAAGCATTGTGATTGGATCAGGCCACCACTTCTGATGATGTCAGCAGGCAGTGGGCAGATCAAAAGGAAACTGGGACAAAGCCAGCAGCTTCAGGCTTGAATACAAGTAAGATTTTACTATATTTAGGGAGGCAAGAGAGGGCCAGGGGAACTAGATGGTGGTTTTATCCCTATAGGGTTAGGAATACATGTTTGTCTACCTGACCCTATAGTCATCCTTTAAGTGTGCATTGGTACAATAGAGTTGGGGACCATCAGCACAAAATGATCCTGTACTGTTCAAAATACTTCATCTAATTTATATTGTACCTGGAAAGCCCAGGCGTTTCTGAGACCAATTGAAAACAGTTTCATACAAACAGGAGTGCTCAAAGGCTTAAATGTCCATTTAAGTGCAGAAAATACTGATGTGGTACTGTTGGGGGTTGCGCTTTTAACGAACACTCCAGGTACTAAAACAACAAACGGTCAGCCAATACTCTCAGCCAAACAATGACTCCCCATTCACTAAACTGGCTTTAGAAAGGTATGTTTCTTTCAAAGTCAGTGTAGTGAATGGGGAGTCACTGATTGGCTGAGAGAGTCAGCTGAATGCTCTCAGTCAACCAGCGCTTTCTGAATCTGAAAATTCAAAGCTGGGTGTCACCAGGAAAGGAGTGGAGATTGCCGCAGGAGGCAACATTTTCTCGAGCGGTTTAACCCCTTGAGGTACAAGTGCCCCCAGGCAATACAACAACTTTATTTATGTAGATGATGTTGCATTGGTGCCTGGAGTGTCCCTTTAAATTTTGTATAAACTGGTTAAAATTGTGATCACTAATCAGATATTTGTGCAGCATAAATCATACTATATATATGTTATTTTTATATAGTAATAGTTTGCATAATCTGTTTTTATAGTATATTGTACTTCGTAAAAAGACAACACCAACTAAGATATCACTATAGCTGATAAGACGATTGGAAGTGTGATAATCCTTATCTAAAGATTATCGGCCCACTCCATACACAATATGAAATCTCTTTTAGCTTTCCGATTACACTTTTAATTACCTTTAATTTGTCTGGAGCGGTTAACAGAAGGGTAGCAACAAGGGATCCTGCAGAAGCCCCAGCAAAGAACTTGACAGTTTTGAGCAGTCTTTGTCCATGTTTTAGCAGAGCTGTTGCTGCCCCCAAGTGGTATATTCCCAGAAAGCCACAGGCAGCAAAAGACAAGTTTAGGTGCTTCATTTTGTTCTAAAAAAATGACATTCGATTAACATTCCAAACACATTCACCAGGAAGATAAATGTTTCTTTACATTTATGAAAGGGTAAAGACAAATTGATTTTTATTAAAGATTGATCTTAAATAAACCATTTATGTTGGTGAAAAGTTATCTTAGGATCCTATAAAACAGGCATATATACATATATTGCTTTTCATTATTGTAGCTATAAATTTGCCAGACGGTGCAGCTGAAACTCACAGGGAAGATTTTCTAAACAGTAAAAGGTAAACATGTAAAAAAAAGTATTAAAGATTTAAAGTTAAAGACTTCATTAGAATATGTTTTTTGTATTTTTTTTTTTTTAAAGTACCACTATAGTGGTCCAGTGGCCCTGCCATTTAGGTCCTGCAAAAATCATTGCTGTTTCAGAGATACAGAGTGATGTCTGTGAACATCTGTTTATAGCTTTTTGTTTTGGGGTTTGCTGACCTCTACCACAGTACTCCATTGTATTTTTTCTTGTGTGCAGCACATCACCTTTACCAGGGATAGGCAACCTACAGCACTCCAGATGTTGTGGACTACCTCCCCCACAATGCTCTTACACACATAATGCTGGCAAAGCATCATGGGAGGTGTAGTCCAAAACATCTGCAGTGCTGAACGTTGCTTATGCCTGACCTATATAGTGCATTGGTTATGGTCATGAGAGTGTTCGTTTAATGAGTTAATTATCTTTGAAACATCAATACAGATGGGATTCACTGCAAACTGATGCTACAAGGACATTATGTTTGAAAAGAAACCAATACGAGAAGCTGTGAGAAACATCGACTTGTAAAACACGGGCCTCGGTTTAATACTTCTGGATAATCTACTCAAGTGATGTAATATATTTGAATACACTTTTAAAATTATTTTTTCAAAATATTAAAATATCTAAAAAATATATCATATCCATAAAAAATCAATATATCAAACTAATCTCAGAATATTAAAATATTTCTCAACGGATTCAATCATTTTAAATGTTTATCCAAAAATACTAAAATCGAGGCCTTGGTTAAAGAAAGGATGGGAAACAATGAAATAGAAAAACATATTGTCATCAAAGTAACGTTTCGTCATATAGCAGAAAGTACAAATTAAAATAATATACACCTAAATATTTAGGAAATCTGTCAGCATTTTTATTATTACTAATAATAAAAGAGTGCATTCTTATAGCCTCCGTGTATACCATTTTGTAATATAAATGATGTAAATTCACTCTTTTTAGTGTATTTCCTCGTTTCCCCTTACTTGTGCTTTAGTGTTTATAGTACCAGAAATGCCTTCCCCCCAACCTGATGTAAGTAGTCAAACCGATTGCTAATGGTTTGACTTCTTATGTGGGGTTCAACAGGCACCTACCACCAGTATTACAGTATAAGAGTTGGAACTGATTAAATGTTTAGTATCGATGTGGGATGCAGCGCCCACTGACTCAAGAATTATATCAACTTCAATCAGTTAAAGTGGTAACCGTTCCTACAGTGTGTTCCTTTAATAATAATAATAATAATAATAATAATAATAAAGTATTTAACCAGGAATGGTACTTTCAAATTACTCTGGTTTTCAAGAACGTCCTGGGAATGTTACATTTGCCCAGCATCCAGGGGTTGGTACTATTACCCAATTTGATGGTTCTTTACCTTATATCTGAAATAAAATATGCTAGACTAATTCCAACTACGGCTGAGCATGATGTGAGTCATACTGGCCACAGCAGATGGAATGAATCATTTATACTACATGGAACACTAGCAAATCTGAGCTGTAATTATATGGAAGCTGATATGATCCAACACTTTTAAATACAAGAAAAACACAGATTAAATGTGGATGAATGGGTGGGTGGACGGGTGTGAAACATTCTAAAATACAGATTGCAAATAAGGGTCCATAAAATACTGTACCGTCAAGCAGAATCTATGATAAGGAGTTTATTCCTACAATTTAACTATTGATCTCCCTTCTCTAACATGCCTTCAGCCACACACATTCTACACCTCCTTCAGCATTGCCAGCTCATAAAACAGCATGCTGTACAATGCAAAGCTGCAGCTCAAAATGGAACTGCACAGTAAACATTTGCAATGCCAGCATTCTGACCTTTTTTCGCTTGCCATAGAAACCAGGAAGGATTATTCTCTATTCAAGCTGTTTTCCTTCCTAGGCCACCAGCCAATAACAAGGAACGTAACAACAGCCAATGGTGACTGATGATGCATTTTCCATGCCTTATTTGACAAGTCATGTTGTCATGGTATTTTTGTCTCTCTCTTCGGAAAAGCTGCCTGTTAGCATTACAATTCGAGCTAAATTTACCACTACAGTCGTTCTTTCCCTCTTTCCTATTTTATTGTCTCACACATGTACTGCAAATCCTTTAGTCCGCAGCCAGCATAAAATCTTGCCAGAGTACTGCAGTTGTCTGTTCACTTTCCCCCTGTGATCTATAATTCATGGCTGTATTGTGACAGATCATACCAGTCATTTTTTTTCATTGCTAGCAAATCCATGTCACTGCTTGCTATTCAGTGGAGTCTCTTACACTCATGTATTATTTACATCGATCTGTGTTACTTCTATGATGACATTGAATCATACCACTATAATACAAAGCAAGATTCATCATTATAGATCCTGCTAATGTTTTTATGTGTGTGTCACAATGCCCTAACAAACCACCAAATATATGTATGTGTGTACATTGATCGTGTTTCTGTGGGTTTGTGTCTTTGGGGCTTATTCACTAAACAGCATTTTATATTCTCACGTATTGAACTGCAACTGTATTGCAAAATGTTGCCATAAATATGTTGCTTTGGGAAAAAGTCCAACTCAGCTATAGTCATAGATTTTTTTTTTTATTTTTTTTTTTATTCTTAGTTAACTAAAATGTGGTGTTAATTAAATAAATCCCACTGTGGATTTATTAACTGGAATACAAATTGTAGTGAATTGCAAATGAAATAGAAAATATAAAAAAAAAAAAAAAAAATTCCTGCATTAAAGTAACACTCCATGCACCATAACTACTACAGCCACTGTAGTGGGTATGGAGTCTTGAGTGTTCCTTTACTGCAAAGAGAAAAAATATGCAGTGGGTATTTTTCTCTGTTTATTCAATAAACAATCAATTGGAGTGAAGTGAAGTGAAAAGTGATGTAAAATGTAGATGAAAATAGTTGGGACAATCATCCCACTTAGCTACATACAGTTTGTATATTTGAATCTAAACTTTAGAATTAGATTCAATTCACTATTTAAAGGAACACTATAATATTACGAATACAAACATGTATTCCTAATATTATAGTGCTTGAGTACCTGTTTAGGTCCCCGGCCTCCTCAGAATGGAGTAAAACAAGTTATTTTTACTTATCTTTTCTCCATTGCCATGGTAGTCTCTTCCCTCGCCTCCGTTCCCCTCCATGACTGAGATCATCAGTGTTGGCAGTCTCAGCCAATCCAATGCTTTCCCACAGGAATCCAATGCTTTCCCCTTCCTGCTTCCCATGCTGCAGTTACCAAGGTCCCCGCCACACAGTAAGCCCCGCCGCATGCTAAGCTCCGCCCCGCCGCATGCTATGCTCCTCCGCCGTCGCACGCTAAGCTCCGCCCCACCACAATATTTTTTCATTTATTTTTATGATCCCAGCCATGTCTGGCCGGGATCATAAAAAAGCCAGCCAGCTTGCTCCCATGGGGTCCTGTGCGTCCAAACAACTCACACATGGCCGGCCGGGATTACAGGAGCCTCATTAGTGATTATTAGGGCTGTCAGTCCAGCCCCAGTTGCCGTGGTCCACCGGGAAATTTCTCGGTATCCCGATGGGCCAGTCTGACCCTGGTCGGCACACGCTGCTCTGTCTGCTTATACCAACCATTTATATACCAAAACTCTGGCCATTTTAATAAGTTTACTTTGAATATTGAATCGTCAATCCGTACTCCATCGATACCATGGTGACATTCACATCCTTTTGCCACCTCAACCTTAAATCAACAATAAATGGTGCCCTGCTCAACATACTAGACCAATTGTCCTACACTCACATGACTACAAGGCATACGCTCTCTTTTTAAGGTTACACGGTAACCATTCACTAGATTAAATTCATCCTGTACATCGGGACACAATTCATAAAACTCTGATACGACCCTTCATCAAATTCAGGTCATTCTTTTAGAATAAGCACTGCTTCTGCAACCTTTAGTAAACATCCCAGTACACATCATAAACTGGGACATTGGAATCGTCTGCACACACCAGATATCTGGAGCAAAAGAGGTTCACCCACTAGAACATGAAGCCTTGTTGTAGGTATATGGTGGGTAGGAGATGACGAGACCCCAACCAAGCTGTGGCGGTTCGTGGGGGTTCGCAGTAGTTATGGTGTTCCAGCGCAGTGCTTATGGTACTCTTCAGTACTAGGAAGCAGGGATTGACTGAGGTACCTGGTCGGGGTGCAGTTGGTCTGTCACAGCCCTCTTTTACAGGCCTACTCGAACGTCGGTTTCGGCACACCACAACCGACTTGTACCACCACTACTATAACTCGGCTTATTTTCCCCGACTACAAATGGAAAGGCGGAGCCTGTAGTTTTGGGAGGAGTTTGCCTGGCCTATAAATTCACAGGCCTCCCCTTCCTCTGGTCGAGATTTCCCGGTTCAGCCCACCCACTGCTCCCTTTATTAAGCATTCACTTAGTGGGCCCTCTTTTACAGGCCTACTCAAACGCCGGTTTCGGCACACCACAACCGACTTGTACGACCACTACTATCAGAGTCATGATCCACAACTACTGGATAACAGTGCTGCATGAATGCCAAGCAGCACAAATGAACCAGCTACTAGCAATAGGCTCCCACCCTGACTGGCTAACACAAGGCAGAACAATACTGGTCATGAAGGACACTCACAAGGGAACAACACCATCCAACTACCGACCAATAACCTGCCTCCCCAGAACATGGAAACTCCTGTCAGGCATCGTAGCCTCCAAGATCCAAGGGCATATGAGTCAATATATGAGCAATATTCAGAAGGGGATTGGAATCAAAACACCAACTACTGGTAGACCAAGCAGACACAAGGGATTCTAAGACCAGACAGACCAATCTGTGCATGGCCTGGATTGACAACAAGAAAGCCTATGAACTCAAGAACTCAATGGGCAAGTGCAAAACAACTCTAAAAGCCAATTCCAGGACTCAAGTGAACATCAAATGTGGCATATACCAAGGTGATGCACTATCCCCAATGCTGTTCTGCATAGGCCTCAACCCCCTTAGGCAGATCATCAAGAAGAGTGGATACGAATACAGGTTCAAGAGGGGAGCTACCATCAGCCACCTACTCTGCATGGACCACATCAAGCTGTATGCCAAGAATGAGCGGGACATTGACTCACTAATCCACTTAACTAGGATATACAGCAAGGACATTGGAATGTCGTTTGGACTACAGAAATGCGGGTGAATTATAACAAAAAGAGGGAAGATGATCAGGACAGAGGAGTTCAAGTTCCAGAAGGCCAAATAGAAGATGAAGAGAACAGCTGCAAGTACCTGGGGATACCACAAATGCATGGCAACCAAGAGGAAGAGGCAAGGAGGATTGCAACATCCAAGTACCCCCAGAAAGTCATATAGGTCCTGAAGTCCCAGCTCAATGGCAACTCATCAACCCATATGCCCTATCGGTCATCAGGTACCCAGCTGGAATGAAAACCTGGCCAAGAGAAGAACTGGTCACCATGGATGTCAAGACCAGGAAACTACTACTATGAATGGAGGATTCCACGTGAAATTCAGCACCCAGAGACTGTACAACAACCGGAAGGAAGGAGGTCGGGCCTGATGAGTGTCAAGGCCACAGTCTTTGATGAAACTCATAGCATCCACAATTACATCACGAAGATGGCTCCCAAAGATGAACTGCTAAGGGAATGCCTGAGACTTCTACAGAGGATACAGAAAAGAGGAGGTTCCTTGGCAAGGCAAACTTTTCCACGGGGTGTACCACTGGCAGATAGTGGATGTGGCTCACATGACAAAATCCTACCAGTGGTTGGAAAAGGCAGGACTGAAAGACAGCACTGAGGCACTAATCCAAGCAGGAACAGGCACTTAGCACCAGATCAAAAGAAGCTCGAGTCTACCAAATAAGGCAACGCACGACAAGACCCAAGGTGCAGACTGTGCAAAGAGGCCTCTGGGACAGTCCAGCACCTAGTAGCCGGATGCAAGATGTTAGCAGGAACAGCATACACGGAGAGACACAACCAAGTTGCTGGGATTGTGTACCAAAACATCTGCACAGAATATAGATCGGACCTGCTTAAGTCCAGATGGCAGATACCACAAAGAGTAGTTGAGAATGACAGGGCTAAGATCCTGTGGGACTTCAAGATCCAGACAGACAAGCAAGTGCTGGCCAACCAACCTGACATCATGGTGGTAAACAAGGAACGGAAGACTGCAGTTTTGGTGGATGTGGCAATATCCATTGAAAAGATGTGGAAAGTGAAAGCAGTAGTAGTCCCAGTTGTGATAGGAGCACTCAGGGCTGTGACTCCCAAGTTGTGACAAGAGTGACTTCAACAAATTCCAGCTGGGGCATCTGAGATTACTGTCCAGAAGAGTGCAGTTCTAGGAACAGCTAAGATACTGCGCAGAACCCTCAAACTCCCAGGCCTCTGGTAGAGGACCCAAGAATGAGGAATAAAAACAATAAAAACCACGCTGACTCCCAGCGTTTGAAGACTGTTCGCTTCTACATTACTCCTGTAAGAGTCAGTTATTCTAGTGTACAGTAAATGTTTTTTTTTTTTACTTTGTAAATGCCTTTGTTGTGATTAAATCTTTTGTACTTCATGATTGTTTGACCTCACCTATACGATCTATATATTTCCTTAACTCTTTATTTGGGTATAACTGTAGGAATATCATTAGAGAGTTTTTTTCAGCCTACACTATTATGTGTTCTTTATATATCTTTCATGTGCTGAATACAACATCTGGAAACCACCTACTGAATATTAAAGGGACACTATAGTCACCTGAACAACTTAAGCTTAATGAGGTTCTTCAGGTGGGAACTATAACTCCCTGCAGCCTTTCTCATGTAAACACTGTATTTTCTGTGAAAATACAGTGTTTACATTGAAAGCTAGGAACACCTCCAGTTGCAGTCACTCATAATATGCCTCCATCCACTCAGATCTGCTGTGCACGAGCATCCTGTGATTCAGTATCTCCTCCTTCT